TGGAAATTGGTGGGATGATGACTGTGCAGTAAACTGGCCATTTATCTGTAACACTGGTAAGGGGATTAAACATTTTTTATTATTTAATATAATATATAATATTAAAGTATTTTGAAAAAAGAAAACTCTTCATCCTCTTTAACAGATCCCTCTTTTGTACAGGGACACCAGAGGAACCTCAATTTACTCGTCAAACAGAAAACATGAACTGGTCTAGTGCTCAAAGGTTCTGCAAGGAAAACTTTGTCGACCTTGCAACTGTAAGGACTGATGCAGAAAATAATATGTTAGCGACAATAATACCTTCTGGCCATTCATGGATCGGTCTGTTTAGAGACCCAAACTTTTTTTGGTCTGATCAAAGCAGCTTCCTGTTTAGTGCCTGGGACTCTGTCATTAATCCAATCGGCTCAATGACAGTGATATGTGGTGCTACATCTTCTGGGAGATCAGGAAAATGGAAATTTTTATCATGTGAACAAAGATTGCCATTTGTCTGCTACAGTGTTCATGGTGATTATTTTACTCCACTTTAAAAACTAAAGAAAAAAAATTACAACTGAACAATTAGTCTTAATTGTACAAACATTTTTATTCCCAAAAATTATTTAATTAAAATTATTTTCTTTTAATTTACAGAAACAGTTAAAATCTAATCAAACATCTCCTCTTCTTGTTTAATCAGTTTTCAAAAACTTAGTAAAGCTAAAACTGAAGGCAGAGGACTCCATGGATCTGAATGACCCTGTTCTGAAAGAGAAAATCCTGAAAAAGGTAAGTCTGAGTTTGTACAGTTGTGCTTGAAAGGTTACATACCCTCCCATTAAAGAAAATTATAAATTCCAACAAGTAAACTAAATAACACAAAACTGAAAAAAACTAAATGATAATTTTTTTAAATACAATATTGATTTTGAGATTTCACAAAAAAAGAACTCTTTAAAAAAATGTTCCAGACGAATGAATGTACGTTGGTCATGAACAGTGAACAAAAATACCTGTCAACAGGTGGAGAAGTCTGACTGAACATTTCCTGAAGATCACAGAAAAAAACTAATTTCAGTGTTTGTCTTAAAGGCTTGTTTACTTGTTTTTTTATTTATTATTATATATGTATATGTTTACAAATGGGCCCGCTGTAAAAAAAAAAAAAAA